CCCCCCCCCCCCCCAGAAAAGAATTGTATCTACGCTACTGAATATAATAATTAATACGCTTAAAAACAAGAAAATGTTAGTTAGGTAGTTAAGTATTAAGTAAATTAACTTTAAATATCATCTTTTACATTATATCTACAATTAAGTGTTCATACTAGTAATCGAAAAAATTTGAACGTTTAAAAATATATTAAAAATATTTCATGCATGTCCGTCAACAAACTAATATTAATTAATAAATATTAATTGATTCTATTTTAAGTTGTCTTAAATTTAGTTATATCTATGTTTGTAAGATGTATTGTAATTTATGAACTTGTTCTAAATGTTGGTTTTTATATTATTTTATATTTATTTATAGGATTGTGTTGTAATCTAATTGTTTATCTTTAAAATTATATTGTTGTTATCACAAGAGACGGAACTTACCTATTACTTATTTTACAGTAGATATAAATATTGACGATTAGAATCATTCTCTAATTTACTTATTGAAGTAGATACTCTGAATTTTAAAAGTTAAAATGTGAGTATTTAACTGGATTCTCAATTGATTACTGAACAATAGAAAATCAAATAAATAATTAACTATTGCAGAAAATTAAAATAAAAACTTATAAATGGTACCAATGAGCCAAAAATTGTGTTTTTTCCGTTTTAAACAAACGCTTTAATTTTTTTACATTGTTTAATTCAAATGTTCTAAACGATTTAAACAAAACCAAGTTCGTTTAATTTAAACATGTTTAAAACATTTCGTATTAAACATCTCAACTGTGTTACAGAGACACGAACGTTTCGGTGACCGGCGGATGGAGCAGGGGTGCAATTCCAATGAAAAAAACTGGGGGTGCTGAAGCCCTTCTATCTTTTTCATGTTTCTTAATGGTTATAGACACCCGCAAACCGCACAATTCAACAGTTACTAAAATATTTGGTAAATATATGAATATTTCTAAATTTAAATTGTTCACTTTGATTTTGTATTTTTATTGTGCGTATAACGAATTACCTGTCTGTAAACACAAATGTTTTATCACATGATCACTTTTAAATTCTGACTGAAGCGAAGGATATTATGGTTTTATAATGATATTTGTATTTTATTTGTTTAACACCTTTTCGGATAGAAATACTGGCCCAAAAGTTTTTTTGGACCTTTTTTAGATTTTAAATTGGCATGCGGCCAATTTAAAATGTAAAAAAAAATTCTTTTAAATCTTAATATTTTTTCTGGACGTGAGGAAAAAACTGTCCTGAAACAGTAAAAATACGCTGTAAATAAGACTTTCACATTTCAAATTTTAGTTATTTAGTCATAATTCCAAAAGTAATGTGGCTAGAAATTTGAAACTTTTACCCTATAGCAAAGATATTTTTTTTTTTCGTATTGTATAAAAATGTATATACCTATTTATATAAAAAAACTCAAAAACTACTATGTTTTTCTATACATAATGAGTAATGAGTATTTAAATATAAACATAAACACATTTGGTGGTGCTAATTTTGAAAATGGGGGTGCTAAGCACACCCAAGCCCCCCCCCAAATTGCGCCTATGGGATGGAGGCTATTCGACTTCGGTTGCGATTCGACATTTTATACGTATTTTTGAGTGAATGATGGCTCGTGACCATCCGGGAAGAAAAACCATTGCCATGATTATGCGATTTTATTTGTAGGTTATGTATAAAACATATAAGTATTATCAGCAAAATTTTGTGTTATTATTAGCAAAACTTTGGTTTAAAGTTTTGAATTCAGTATATTCCAATATTTTGCCATTACCAAGACGTTCGTGAGAACATTTTTTTCAGAAAATGTCTTTGATCAGTCATTGCGGAGGACTTCAAGAAAACAGTGTTCACGACCTCGAGAAAGATGAAGTGTCCACAGGTGTAAGTAATCATACGTTACCTACAAACAAGTCGTTGCAAATCCTTTTCATTTTGTCTCTTAAGTATATAGTGTATTTAAAAACCATTGGTATAAACATTACTTTTCTTCTACACGTCTCTAACTACGAACTATTATTAAATTGTGCAAGAAAAAAATAATTTCAATATTGTACAGTTAAAATATTCATTATTAAATTATTTTTACCGCCTGTATTTATTTTTTATTTGTTATAAATTATTACAGAATATTGTTATAACATATATATTATAGCGCTATTGTACATATAAACGAAAAAAAAAAAAAAAACCTAAATTGTTGTATCTTTTCCATTAAAATTGCTTTCAGTGTAAAAAAATAATTGTATATAATTTCTTATACCTTAAGTATTCCATATGTTACACACATTCTATATCTATAGTCATTTAGCATATTATAAAATGAATGGTTTTTTTTTTAAACTTTCAGACTACCATTGTTGCAGCAACTTATGATGGCGGGGTTATAGTTGGAGCTGACTCTCGCACAACTACTGGGTAATTAATAAATATATATTTTATCAATATATTATTGTACCCATTGAATTATTTTCCAGATCATATATTGCTAATCGAGTTACTGATAAGTTGACTAAAGTATGTGATAATATCTTCTGCTGTCGGTCTGGATCAGCTGCAGATACGCAAGCTATCACTGACATTGTTTCATATTACATGGACCTATCTAGGTAATTTATGAATGTATATTGCTCTTATAACTTAATCAATCAACAATTGTATTTATTCCTTAGCATTCAAATGGGTGAACCACCACTTGTCAGAGCCGCTGCCACTATATTCAGGAATTTAATTTATGAGAATAGACATCAATTGACTGCTGGTATCATTGTTGCTGGGTGGGATAAGAAATTTGGCGGACAAGTAATTTATATTGAAGACTATAGAATTATAACTAAAATTAATAAAAAAAGGTTTTAAAAAGTATTTAAATATTCTGTACTTAAATTTTATAATGGGAAAATTATCAACTGACTGTAAAACAAAAAAATAATATAAATTCAAGTTATACATATTTTAAATCAAATTTTATTTTCATATTAATGGATATAAATATTAATTATTATTTTAAGATTAGTGGTTACCCTTCCTTCTTACATTTGTCACCATTACATGAATTTTATAAAGATTTTTTTACTAGTTTTTTTTTTATTTTTAGCAAACGATTCAATTTGAATTGCTTTTAAATTACTGAGTAACTCGATCTAGTAAAAAACTTTGATTTTCAATTAAAAATTGATAGATATTAAAAGTTACTTGTAAGAATGATATGCTATTAAAGGGTAGTGCATTAATATGGTGTAATTTTTATCAGGTATATGCTGTCAATGTAAGTGGTACAATAGTTCAACAAAATATTTCTATTGGTGGCTCAGGTAGTTCCTATTTGTATGGTTATATGGATTCACAGTATAAAGATGGAATGACACAAGAAGAATGTGAAAATCTTGTACTTAACGGTAAGTATCATACAATAGTACTTAATTTATTTACTATATTGTTGTTTTAATAAACAAATTTTTGTTTAGCAATTTCATTGGCTATCAAACGTGATGGTTCAAGTGGTGGTGTTGTACGTTTGGGAGTGTTAAACCATACTGGTTCTATTCAAAGAAAATTGTTCTTGGGAGACCAATTACCCAAGTTTTATGATAATGTGTTAGTAAAACCTCAAGGTGATATATCCGGAGGAGATACTACTATGGCTTAATTTTTTTTATTTATATTTATAAATCCATTCGTGTATTTAATTGTTTCAGCAAAACAATTAATTTTTTATTCTGCTAATATATTAAATTCTAAAACTACTGTAAACCTGTATTTATTCATGTATAGTTGTTATGTAATTCATGGTTTTTTTTTTTCATGAGAATTCAACATTTGAGACTACAATTCTTCTGTTATTATTTTTACAATTATATATAAGGTGTAGGAATATGATCGGCTTAATTACTTAATACTGAATTTTTGAAGTAGTATCGTCTGGTGACAAAACTACCACTCAGATTGTGCCTCTAATAATTTAACTCAACCATTTTCAATATTGCTTTGTTTTTCCTATGGGACATTCAATTCAACTTATTGTTGTAGCCAATTTGTCAGAATTAAGCCAAAATATTTTTATATCGTTAACAGTCATATTCATATTTTATTGTTTTATCAAATCTGGATGACAATCGTTTCTATCATTTTATTTTATAGATTGGTATTTTAGTATGAAAAAAAAAAAAAACTTTATGAATATATGTCTTCTTTATTTCTTAATACATATTACATTTAAGTTGATGTCACTTGTAAAAAGCTAATTAGGCTTTGTAGATCCATTGCTGCTACCATTAATTTATTATATAATTTTCTGTTAATAGTAATTCCATTACCAATCATAATTTTTAAAAACAATCCAAAGCTAACAAAAATATGTTGTCAAATTTAATCCGTTTTTTCACAAGGAATTTATTTTTATAAACATGTTATAATATTCTGACATATCAAATATATTCAACATTAACCATTAGACCTATTCATTGATATGTATACTAGAGCTAAACGTCTATAATATTGTCCAAGAGCTGCAATGTTGTAAAATTAATCAATTACACTCATGTATTACTGGTTATTTACGATTATATAATTATATAATTAAGTAAAAGTTTGGTAACTTAAAAACAAATGATAAAAGGCTCAGTTAAAATATTTAAAGTTAACTTAATTAAGTTTCGAAACAGAAAATATTATTCTTGATGATTTTGTTAAATGGTATGTTTGGTATATCCCTAAAGACCATAGTAACCAGCTCCTATTTTTTAGTGAACCAAGAGAACAAAGTGTGTACCTACTTAATACTAATAAATAAGACTTATATGAAGGTGTTCTTTCAGGAAGTCTATTTAAGCAAGACAGCTGATGAGGACTTGAATATATCACATGATATGCCCCAAATATTAAAATAATTTGTAAATTGTTTTCAGATTTATACTAGTCAAATGTATATTTTCAGTTAAAAAAATAATAACAGATTGGTAGAGTTACCTAATTATAATATGAAATTTGATTAGTAAAATAGAACTATTACTAACAATTATCACCGACATTATACTACAAATTATAATCATATTGATCAGGGGGGGTGCTCTGTATCATATCATTGTACATTAAAAAATTTTGTATGAAATTTTATGAAAAATAGGGGCTGATAGTAGCCATGTGGCTACAAATGGTGAAGTATGATGATGATAAAATGTACTTTATTATAGAACTAGCGCCTTCTAAATGTAATGAACATTAAATGTTCATTACATTTAGAAGGCGCTTCGGTAGATTAAATTTTAATCTACCGAAATTTATACAACTTTTGATAAAATGTATAAATATAACCGACTTACGACTAAAATTAAATCATAGAATTTTAAGCTAACTTTTGATTAGTGTTGATGTTAATTTAGTCATATTATTTCATTTGTTCTCATTTATCCGTGTGCGGTCGGCCAGCGGTATGTTCACTTGAAAATATGTTCGTTAATTCTACAGATATATATTAATATTTTGATATATATCTATGTTTAAATCAGTATTTTCAAATCAAGTTCAGTCATGTTTTTGGTAAAAGTTAAAAGCCATTATCTCAATGACACGAAGCTTCAAAATGTCAAGTGTCTTAGGTTTAATGTGGTGACAGTATAGGTTTCACGACTGTAGAGCAGTGCTTGACTTGAGGGGGGACGCAGAGGGACGGAGTACCCAAACTAATTTTCAGAAATGTTAGTGTCCCCCTACTATTATTACGTTATAAATATAACGCTTAACAAGTCTTGGGGGCGCTATTTTCTTTAAACTAAACAGAGTCCCCCTTCTTTATTTTTGACAAATCAAGCACTGCTGTAGAGCAATAAAAAAAAAAAACTACCCAGAAATTATGTATGACCGAAGATATAATATATTGACTGAAGATTTTGAAGACTGTACAAACATTGATCACTCACAAGCTACAGGTATAATAGTATGCATTATTATTTAAACTTCATCTTCATATTACCTTTTCAGATATTTTATATATAATAAGATCAATAAGATTCTTGGTATATTTGTTCATTTTGGAAAACAGTTTGCAAACAATAAATATACTAAGTCTTAAATTACAACGAGAGTCTGATTTTTTTTTTTTTGGGGGGGGGGTTTCCGGCCTTTAAGACCATCCGTAAAACAAATTTCCCTCCATCTTATTCTATTTTCAGTTATTTCTCTCCAGTTTGCTCTTGGGTTTACTTATTTTACTTCTCTCTTCACACAGTCTTCCCATCTGAGGCGTAGTCTGCCTATTGGTCTTTTTCCTTTCGGTTCCTCTTTAATTACTGTGTTCATCATAGCGTCTTTTTTCCTCCAAGCGTGACCTACCCACAACGGTCTTCTTTTTGCGACTTCCCTTAAAATACTTGGTCTTTGGAACAAGTTATACACTTCCTCATTGGTTCAAATTCTCCATTCTTTGGTTCCTGTGTCGAGACAACGAGAGTCTGATACATAAGTGAATGCTGTGAATTTAATTGAAAGCATTATTGACATATTTGAAAACAATCGTTCAATCAAATCATGGAGTGAAGTGTGGGAAGAAATAAAAGAATTTTTAAAAACAAATAATGTATCAATTCATAGCCTAACTGATACAGAAATAAATGGTAATATTAATTTTATTCTTAATTAAATATTATTAAATCAGCGATATTTTATTATTTTTAGAATTTAATCATTTAAAACCAGACTAAAAAAGAACCAACTCATTTAAAAAATTATTTTTTGACAACTACAGCTAGTATCATGTAAGATCAAATTCCGGAAAATAATTTTCATAAAATAGAAGTGTTGGAAAGTAAAGTATTTTCATTCTTAGATGTTATAGTTGTTAATATGAATAAACGTCGTTTTCACCCGAAAGTTTAAAGACGGCAAATGCAATTGATAACTTTATAAAACTAGATTTTATAGGAAATTTATTATTTATAAAAAAGTTTAATTAAATAATTATACATTTCGCCTTCTCTTATCATAACAATTATATTTTAGGAATTACTTAACATTGATAAAGTAACAATCAACAATTGATTTTATAATATAAATATATTATATATTATAAAATCAATGAATCAACTCAGAAATTGTTGCAATATGAATGGACATATTATAACAATTGTTAATTTAAAAAGTTATTGTTGCAGAAATGTACCCAAATTTGCACAAAACAGTTATTATATGTATAGGTATTACATTAATTATAATTAGCTTCAACAATACCAGTGAGCGTTCTTTCTTGGCCATAAAGAGAATTAAAAACTGGCTGCGAAATTCAATGTTAAGAAAAATTTACAAATTTATCTATCATTCATATAGACAAATATAAATTATGTATTATATTGACAATTTACAAAAAATATATTATTCATTTTTTATATATTTATAAATGAATAAAATATAGCCTTTTTAAATTTGTTTAACGGAAGGTAAGGGTTGTCCTCTTCCACTTTATATATATCAGAGCATAGACACAGTGTACACATGAAAATTATATGGACCTCTAAATTTTGCTTATATTGCTTACAAAAAGACTTGTAACTTTTCTAGGTTAAAAGTTGAATTTGAGCAATAACAAATAACTGTTTTTTATACTATATTGTTCTTATTAAAATAAGGTTTGTTTCTTAAAATTATCTATAAACTGAAAAATTATAATTGCAAGTTGTATATTAGATATTTGATCAGATGACTCCAGTAGAAGACCAATATTTTGATGTTTTTTCCACTTTTAACAAAATTTGTAAACGCTGTACATTATACTTTATTTTGTATAGTTCACATATTAATAACTAGGGCAAAATATATTTTAAGGGATTATACGATTTCCACTCATAAGATGTAATAATTATAATATAAATAAATGAAAATGTTTAATTATTAATTATCCATAAACCATTAAAAATACATTAAACGTAAATTTTACTTAAAATCATTATTATAATCTATTTTTCAGAAAGCCTAATGCTATAACAATTCAGTCTGTTAACATTGAATTTGGTATAACAATTTGCTCACGTTACAGATACTAGTTCAAAAATACATAACTTTTAAATGATGATGTTAAAAAGTTTAAATTATGTACAACTATAATATTGAACAATACCAAACTTCTTTAGTTCCAGTATATTCATTTACTTATTCCTCAACACATAAAAATGAATGTAGAGGTTAATAATAAATGAAAATGAAAATTAATTAAGAATCAATTTTTAAAAGCAATCTTTCATCACTTCAAATATTATACATAAATTTAATGATTAACCAAGATAATTTAGTTAAATATTAACACAAATATATCACCAAAAAGTAAATAATTTACTTAAAATAAATGAATTTTTAAGAAACTGACATTTTCCCAGATACTAAAAGATTATCAAAATATTGTTACCAAATAATTGTAATTTATGATATAATCAATACATATTTATATAAGACGAATTAAAAATTTAATATTGATGTAATTTTTCTTTAAATTCATAAACTAATATTTTAGTTTAAATATGTAATAGGATAATGCAATTATTTTATAAACACCATTTTTAATGTATAAAAAAAAACTAAAATTTTTCAAGTTTATGGAGGGGGAAGATAGGAATCATTCCTATATATTATCCAAAAAGGTAAATGGTAATTTATTCATCCTAGGTTATAAGTACATAACATAATTTATTCATTTAAGTTAGCAATCGTTTTTTTTCTTTTACTTAAAAATAAAAATGAGACAGAATACTCAGAAATTTATTTGATTTTATAAACTTGTAATGTTTAATGCTAAAAACATAAAAATTACATTCAGTCTATATTTGTCCATTAAAAATTGAGCAGATGTTACTAGTTTTCTCCATATATTATATTTATTAATCCTTAAACATAATTATATTAGTATAAATAAAATAAAGCCGAAGAGTTTGAAATACGAATTAAGAATTGTTAATTTATTTTATAAATAATTGAATGTGTATGTAAAGTAACATCTAAAAAAAAACTAGTAGCTTAAATAGATAATTGTTTTATAATGACAATTGCAGACCTGTAATTATATTAAGATTTTATCTCAACAATCAATAATTAATGAAACAATATAAATTTTATTTAGTGTTATTAAAATAGTATAAAATATTAACCTTTTTATCAATAGTTAACATGTAATTCTGTAAAAAGATTTGAAGTAGAAATTTAAAGAGTTTCATTTAAAACGAAAAAAAATTTATTAAAAAAAATTCAGGAATAGGTTTTACTTCTAGAGGTGCAAGGGGAATGGAGAGAAAATTCAAGTTTCAACAATGTTCCACAAATTAAACAGGCAGAGTGAACAATAGGCGTTTTAACTAAATGAAAAATGTTAATGCACACACTAGGTACGAATTATGTTCGCTTAGTTCAATTGATGTAAAAATTACACATACAAAATCATTTAAATTATACCGTATTATTATATGAACAAAAATTCGGAAGTATGAGATAATGACAATAGTAGAGTTAGGCGGTAGGTGCCGGTTTTACTCCTCCAAGATCAGGAACTTTTCCTTCATTTTTCTCTTTTCCTCTTCCCTGTAAAATAAATAAAATAAACATAATAAATCAAAAATTTTAAGTTAGTTAGAATTATTATTTAAAATAAAGCTTGATAATTACAGCATTTTCACTTTCAATGTCATCTAACTCAGGCATTTCTTCATCATCGGAATCTTCGGTACTGTCATCATCCTCCATGTTTCCTAAGTCTCTATAATTATCGTCATCCTTTCCTCCTTTAGATCCTCCACCCATCATACTAAGCATCTAAAACACATAAATTAGATAAATAGAAAGATAGTTTTATATAATAATAATAAAAATAAAATAAAAAATTAGCAAATGGTTAATATTTGCAAATAAATAAAAGTTTTAAAATAAATTTAATAAAATAATTTTTATTAATTTTTTTATACTGTTGCAATTTTATTTAATTTTTATACACTGATGATGAATTTTTATTTAATTTGAAATCGGTCATAATGTTCTAAGTATGAAATATTTTACAAAAACGTGAAACTTTGAATTTTTTATAATACAAATATCAATGATTATTTATCAATTATTAATTATATAATCTTAAATTTTTATTTTTAGGTATAATCATCGATATTAATGGAATGAGTACCATGGTTTGACATAATATTACCATATTGGATCTTGTTTTTGACTACAGCATTATAATGAAAATTGGTTTTTTTCCTTAGGAAATACCTTATCGTCGAAAACATTGACAACAATATATTATAGATGAAGATACTATAAGTATATTATTTATTTATTTATTATATATAATTTACCACTTCCTTATAGGCTATAACCTATAAGTAAATGTATTATAATAAACTGACCGAACTATATTCTTATAAAAAACTACATGGCATATCACATTAATATATTTAAATAAATAAATGATAAATCAATGAGTATATTATGCTATATAAATATACAGTACTGCATTAATGTAAGAATTCAGTATAAATGTAAAATATTGAATAATTAAGTTTTTTAAATCTTTTTTTGTCAATACAAATAATATTGAATACTATTTGAAATGTATAATACCGAAGAAAACCAATCACTAATGAGTAGGGATCGGATTTCAGTGCAAAGTGCATATTTCTTTGGTTTATCATGAGAGTTTCAAAACTACAAATTTTATTTAGCATATTTTTTGCATATTACGTTTTTTCATTTTTAGTAGTATTGAGTCATTTTGTTGGTTTTTAATGCATTTTTGTTTGTTTGATATACTAAACAAGTTTAACCTATTCAAAATAAAATCAAAAGACAAATTATTTTCTTGATATTTAAATAGGTTTATTGGGTTTTTCCATACACATAGTCAATCATTATTTTTCGATTCAGTTTTTACCTTATTTTAATTTATTATAAACTATGGAACGTTATCAGTATTTGGTCAAATAACAAATAATCAGTCAGTTCGTTTTAAATCGAAGACGTTGCTTGTATTATGTATGTTTGTGATTTTAATGTATTAAATAGTGTGTTAAATAATGCCTAAAATAAAATAATGTTTGTCATTTTTGTGGTAAAATGGATTTTTTTTTTTAAGGACATTTTTGGCTAATTTTTAAAGCATATTTGTATGGTTTACAGTGCATTTAAATCCGGGCCCTACTAATGAGAATTAAGTGATTGTTTTCCCTAATATTATAAAATTGTTAAAATATGTTTATATACTTGATCAAGGTTTGCAGTTTCTTGGCTAACTCTTGGATCAATATCTTGTGAGTCATCATCTCCAGAATCATCTTCATCTTTCCACTTTTTAAAATCAACTTTTAACCAATGGTACTTTTTCTTCTCTTTGGTTAAATGTGGCCAGTATGACCGGTTATCTTCAGGTTTTGCCAAAACAATTTCAACATATCTACCACCAAATGAAGTCTTGCTTTTCTTTAAATTTATAATATATAAATATTAAAATAATGTTTACAGTAAAAAATATTTGTATTTTACTTACCTCTACAACAACTTCAGAATATAATGGTATAGTTATAGCATAAATTTTTTTTTGCAAACCAGCAACACCACGGAATATTATCTGTTCAGATTCAATTTTTACTCCTGGATTTAAACAATCTTCTACACAAATAGTAACAAATACTACATCGTTACGTTGTGCCCAAATAACTGGAGGTATCAAAGGCCTAAAACAAATTATTATTAGCATTAAAAACAATCTGTACACACAAATTTATAGCAATAATCATCAGCCACTAAAATACAGTTTTAAAAATTAATAACAATATATAGTTTAATGAATTAAAATCCATCCTATTTTAATAAAAATTTCAACATAAATTATTTTTAATATTGGTTAATATTATTCAATATTGCAGTTTAGCCACAGAGATTTTTGCAAATTTTTTTTGTTCAAAACCTATGTAAATCAACATTTTAAAAATGATGGTACTGTTGCGTGCCGTCGTTCAATCGTAACAATGGTTAAGTTTTTATAGGATAATACTCCAAATAAAAATACTCAAATATAATTAAACTGTTTATTTAAGAATTTTTCTAAGTACAAAACATTAATTTAAGAAATGATCTGGCATGAAGGTGCTTGCGCTTATACCTGTAAACCACATCTGAATATTGGTCTGTTCCCAACCCCCTTATATACTTAGGTCTCGTGGGAATTGGCCGCGCATTTCTATGTAATACATTATTTCCAATTACTGTTACTACCTGGAGATGTTAAATTGTAATTAAAATGGTTGACCTCGGTAATATTACTATTCGAACATATATATATTTTGTTATGCGCTTTTATTAATTGCTTTTTTATAATTCTTTGAAATGTAGTCTGACAGCTCATATTCGTGTTACCCTCGGTTCTGAATCATTCCTTTCTCTTTATACGAATACGAATATTATATTAATAATAATCATTTCCCGATTTCTATTATTTATAATCTACGTGGTCCCATCCATGTATTATGAGTTGTAAGGACCTACATTTATGTATGTCCGCAACAGTACCAAAAAAAATCAGCACAGACGCTTAGTTTTTGAGTTATTAAGGTTTGAAATTCGAGAATTCTCGAGTTTTGGAAACTACTTCAGTATACCTACCTAGAGATTGTATCGGATTGTCGTCTCTCATTAATATAATAATATAAATACTTTAATATATTTAGTTTTTACCCAGTGGACTGTGACCTACATGAGGTAGTTTTGAATAACAAATCGAGGGATATTTTTAATTTTCGGAGAGGAGCGACAGCACCGAGGAGTGTAGCGACGAGTGCCAATACACACGTAATCACTGCTCAAGCAAAATAAAATTTTTAATTAAAATTTTAACAATTCTACTATTTTTTTATCCCTGTTACCTACTTGAGATGATTTAGCATGACAAATTAAGAGATATTTTCAATTTATGGAATGCCGATACACAAATAGTCACTGTCGAGGGATATTTCAAACCATTATAACTCAATAAGTAAATGTCAGTGCCGATTTTTGTTCGGCACCATCATTTTTAAAACGTTGATTAACATACGTTTCAAAAAAAAAAGTTTGCAAAAATCTCTCGGCAACTAAACTGCAATTATTTCTTAATATTATCTATGACTTCAAAATTGATTATCAACTTAAAACAAATACTTAATATTTAAAATGTAAGTACTTCTAACCTCTTTCGGATAAGTAGTATAATAGTTAAAAGCACTTGAAAATACTCAAAAAATTTTAGATTTTATATCTTAAATATTATGAAGTAGATATGCCATAGTAAAAAAGTTAATTTAAAATGTTAGATAACCTTAAAATAAACTAGATGTGAGATGCTATTTCTATAGTAATTATTCTTCATATCTAGGATATGTTTGATACCTTTAACCAATTGTTAACTTAAACAAAATGCATAACCACCCCATACATATTGTGATGAATGAAAATGTAATAATAATATTAAGAATATTGTACATATTATTATGTCTGAATGAAAATAATATTGAAAATTTAAACGGGTTTAAAAATTAAATCTGTAACTTGGAACAGAGAAATAAAAATAAATTATAGAGAAATTGGTACTTTAGCATACAGCGTCTAATAAACTGCACAATAGGAATAACATCAAAGAAAGCATCTAAAAATCTAATGACTCACTGGAGCAACTTGAAAAAAATAAAAAATATTCTTGCTAAAATTAATTTGTATTCCACAACTAATATATTCCTATATTAACCAGAGCAAATATTTAGTGGTTATATTTGTTTGACAAATATCACAGTATAATAAAAAGTTCTTTATTGTGAAACACTTAACGCTAATGAAAAAAAACTCATCACTGATAGAAATAATTTTACAATTGAATGACAGTAGAATAGTGAAAAAACTGTTGTGGCAATTAGGGTTTCTAGGAGTTTAATGAATATCGCACTTTCAGAGAATAATCCGTTGAGGGAGAAAATAATAAATGAAAAATAACACTTCAGTGGGTTATTTTCCCAGTTTCTTTTGTTCACACAGGCCAGGGTAGAGGTAGGAGCGAGCATAGATGAGGGGGGGAATCGCTGTTCTGTTAAATCGATAAGAGTCACACGCTCGACGACGCCATCAAAAGCCGATGATCGTTAGAAAAAACTACGTACACCGCAAATAAGCATGGGTGATGGAAGGTAATACGTTCCTGGCATGTACGAAAGGTACTCGCGGTGTACGCAACCGACGAGAGAAACCAACCCTAAGTTCACGTGGACGAACGGAACGGGTACCACCAGGCTCGTGTGCGTGCGAGAGTGCTGACGGTAGTCGAGCGACTTCCGGGGAAAATCCCCTTGAAAGCCGAACGCGCCTCGTCGTCCATAAATTTGTTTCACTTAACTTATGCACGCGACTCGCATCAAGATATTGCGGGTTGACCACGAGGCGGGGCGGTTTTACCGGCGCCACTGAGCGCGACAAATATGTAACCACGAGAAAAATAAATGCACTTACTGTTCGCTAGTCATTTTCTTTGATGTTTTTGGCCTTGGATAGAATGCACGTGTGCAAAACTGAATTCGATGTAGCGTAGATGCCGCGGACTTATCAGTTGTATGCTGCGGAAGATATTTTGTATTTCGATACAGCGAACAGTTAACCGGCTTCGTAGCACAGGTTCGACGAAAGAAAAATAACACCTCGTTACGCTCACGACAACCGAATGGAACGAAAAACGACCGCACTGGATTGACTGGAGGGCGGTGGTTGAGTGACCAGCAGTGAGGTACTATATAGGACTTATGGAAGAAAAACAGCTTGCGCATGGAAAAATAAATCTACAACGATGCCGCCGACAATGACAAGACAATTATTTTAATTTTTCATAGATACCGCCTATATAACTTCATTATAAACGCCCGTCATGTATTTGAGTTTAATATAATCGTCACCCATAATTTGTACTATTACTATTAGTATGGACGACACGCTGCGCATCGCAAATATCATGTCCCATTATAATTATTTTCAAAATTATTTTGAACGACCAATATGACCAGTGGTGCAACCATGATTTATTGTCGAGGAGGGGGGGAGGCTATACATTTGAAAAAAAATTAATTAAGGATGTTGTTTGGTGGGGAGAACGGTGTAAGTTTAGTCGGGTGAAATTATAGAAACCCGAGAGGGGGGGGGGAGAAATCCCCTAGTTTCGCCACTAGATATAGCGTTATGTAAAGTAAAATACCTATCTAATGTTGATTTTTTTATCATATTTGAAATGTGCATTTTATACCGTTAATATTCTCTTGAACATTTATGAAAGTAAATATTCATGCATAAATATGTGTACGATTGACATGAGAGCTTTCATCGATTCAACATAAAGTATTTTTTGAACAAAATAACGAAATTCAGAGTTTCCATTTAAAAAAATTACCAAGAAAATCGACAAGTGACCGGTAAATACTAGTCTGACCTTACTGAATCCGCTATTCTTTTAAAACCACGTACCTACCTAAACATACATGTATAAGATGAAGGGTATTCGTAAAATGCACTTGGCCATGGCGGCCGCCTTATTCCTCGAGGAATGTTGTGTGTTAGGCGCAGTGCTCAACTTGGCAAAATTAAATATGGGGGATTCTATTTACTTTAAAAAAAGAACGTCCACAAAACTGGCTGAGCGTTATGATTATAGCTTAATAATAGAAGGGGGACCCTAAAATTTCTGAAAATTAGTTAGGATACTCCGTCCCCCTGCGTCCCCCCTCAAGTCGAGCACTGGTTAAGCGACGGTGCTGTCTTGGTAAAATGACATGATGAGAAATATGAATATAATGTTATAACTTATAACATTCATACCAGAATAATAATGAATTGAAAAACCACTTGAGGGAGGTTACTGCGAGGAGGATGGACATTGTATAAAATTGTAAAGTAAAACTATTGACTCTGACTTGGATGTTCAAACTCATCACGTTACCAGAACCGTTGATGAATGATATTATATTGACGAACGCGAGTTTTTTTTTCGTTGTATATTATTTTTGGTCGTCTTGAGGACAAACCGACTAAAGTTGCCAATTGCTGTATATCAGTATAACGCCCACCACTGTAATTATTCCGGCTGCAGTGCTGTTGTTCTTATCGCAATACATTTATATATAATATATTATATATTAAACGATAATAGTCTGATTTATAGTACACTGATTTATGTCCGCGGAAACGCACAAGTGTTTTAATAATATTATATAATGCGCTTAGAATAATAATCATGGTCTAATTGGGTCGGATCGCAGGTTCGGGATCGTGAACTGGGCCCCCAATCAGTTTTTCCCCCAAGCCCGGTTTCCTGTCACAAAACTTATAACAAGAGTAATAATTAAATTTTTTTCTTAAACAAACACAAATTAACATTTTTGTGATGTAATTGAGTAAATTTCAACTAACCATAAATAAGGAATCCAAGTTTTCAAAAACTTTTTGAAGTTAGTAACTTTTAAAACTAATGATAGTAAATGATTCCAGTGACAAACGCTTTTATGTTTAATATGAATTTGATGAATTAAGTTAAAATAATTCTAAAACAGTGGGTTGCTTATTTGATGAAGCAGCTAACATAAAAGAGGTATGTAATGGTTGGCAAGCACATTTAAAAAATAATGTTAATTATGTGTCTTTACCCACCGAGAATGTTTTAAATTTAGTTATAGTTGATTCAACTGAATGTAATTAGAATGTAGAATTTCTTTTTATTAGGTACATTTTTGTCAGATTCATATAAAATAATGAAAGTGTAGACTGAACATACTTACATATAATGATAAATTAAAAAAATTATATGTTATTTTGATACTATTTGTTGGTGGTGCAAAGACAAACCCTTAACTTTTATCATCCAATTTAATGTAACCGAGATTAAAAATTAAAGGTTTCTATTTAATTCAACATTTTTTTATTAGAAATAATTTCAAATAACTCAACATTTCATTCAATAACAAAATGTACTATTCTTTCTCTGTTAAAAATTCATCCAAGTTTGAACTAATTATGACTGCTGCAATTTATCTAGATCTGCACAGTGCGAATACGCCTGTTTCCTATTTTTTTCAATATTTTTCATTAAATCATCTCATAAATTTTAACACTTGATTGATACATTGATTATTACATTTTTTTTTACTCTGAACGTTAGGCCTTAGATATATGGCGGACTAGGCAATACATTAATATTAGTGGTAATTAAAATATTCATATTATGTTGCCTACAGTCACTCATTATATTCTATATATACATACATATATTAATTTTTTGATATGTATGTATGGTTACAATATGAATTGTTAAAATGCTATAAAACAGCCGAGTACTCATTTGCATTTGGAAGTGATATTGTAATTTATGGTAATCAGAAAACAATAAATAAATTAATACATTATTTATACGCGCTTATTAATATATTATATACGTATGTGAGATTTTTGGTATTGGTAACTTAATCAATGGTAATATTATGCTTCCTCACCAACTAGTAGTAATTATATCTGATTTCATATACCTAAGTATTATTTTATATTAAAGCTGGGTATTAAATATATGTACATATATCACCCTGATTTTTGAATGACAAATACACAATTCATACGTTTTATATGTAAAAAAAAAAAAATATAGCTTTGTAAAATTTGAAGTTGTAATTGATCAACAAGTCAACAACTTCTATATTAAGTTTTAAATCTTATAAATATATCATATATGTATGCATTATTGTTTTGTTTATTGTCTTTATTCACGTTATACCTATTTACCTGTTCAGTATTTAGTACATAGTATTAGTTGACACTCAAAAATACTAGTATGTATATATATATATAATATAATGTATGTAGTTATGTAGTTAAGTTAATAGTATATACTAATATAATATTATAATTTAATAAATATTTACATACGATGAATGACGATCGTGATGCAGAAAAAACATACTGTAATTAGTAGAATTATAGACTTATGCATATGGAATATTAGTAAAACTATTACATGTTATTTTACAATTTGTCAGTGAATTATTATCTCTGTTTCATATTTCGTTATTGTGTTTTACTATTATATTAGTGTATATTTGAGTATTCACATAAGTATAATAGCATTTAGATATTGAAATCTATTTTTGAATCACAAATACTTTTATGTACTTTTGTAGAAGATAATTGTTAATAAATTACGAATTTGTACATATAAATAATGAGCACTGTTCCAACAAAAACCTGGAGTTGGGATAATTTGGTAAAAAGTAAGCACGATTATATTACTTCAATGCAATTATATATTATATTTATGATAAAATGTTTATTCATAAGGATTTATCTAAATGATGCGATATGTTATGCGGTTATTTTTAAGAAAACCTATAAAATATTTTATTGTGGGATTTATTAAAAGCTTTGTGATATAATTAAAAATATAAAAATAGGTACCAAAATCTGAATACATATAATCTTCTGTTTTTTCATTTTAGATACATTTCATTATATTTGTATTAAGTTGAAATTATTTACGATCGAGAATATTTCGCAACACCCATTGAAGATGTCAATGCTGTGCGTAGTGAGTCGTATCATCTCACCCACTTATTAATAACCGTCTGAGCAAAGGTTTATTGCGAAAGATATTGAAAACAATAAATTTCTCAATGTTTATATACGAACGTGTCGAGGGGTTATCGCAAAAGTTATTACGGAGATTTTAAAGCGAGTTTTTTTATCAGTACGAAAAAAAAACGTGTATTAAACGTATAAAGCTGGTGATCTATATACAATAAGTCGGAGCGAAACGGCCGGAGATTGAAGAGTGGGCTCGTGTGTTATTCGATCCAGTTTTTATGTTTCGCAAATATTTTCAAATGGACTGAGAACTCAAACATTTATCATAGTTTTACAGCTTGACGATTAAAATATTTTGATTACAAAACGAGCCACGGGTCCCAGAGACAGGACTAGGAATTTTTACGTTCCATCATAGACCAAGAACCAAATACCCTTCCTTACAATTTGTTTCTAATAATTAGCCTACAATCATGATTATGAAGTTTTAAACATACTATCAGAAACAAAGTTAAAAACATCAAACTAGTAGTCAATAATAGATTACATACCCCAAACATTACACCCTCTAAAATTAATAGATTAATAGAAAAAAAAAATAGATTTTCAGCAGCCAGAAAATAATGTTTTTAATAATTACCTAATTGTTTTAAATATTTTGCATTTGTAAACTTGAATCTTACTAAGGTTTGGTTATTAATTTGTATAAATGGTTAAATGAGGACGATTAAATAATTTATTAATTTTATATTACATTTTTTAATTCAATGTGTTCAATACAATGTGCATAAAAATAATTTCTTGAAGAAGGGTGGCAATCGAATTACTACCTTTTTTCAAATTAAATACAAGAGGCTCCGAGGAAAAAAAAATTGCGTGATGATGCTGGATCGGGTCAATCTTTTGAAAGTTTACGATGGGACCGCTTCATGTTGGGCCGCCGAAGTTTGACTGCCAAACCAAACGAAAAGTTCATTACAATATTTTTTGGGTAAAAATCACTACCTCCCCCCCCTTCCGCGCCGTGGCCCGATATTTATATATTGTGGCTTTTTTAATTCCTTTTCGACCGACTAAATCATTAGAACTTCGGCGCCACAGTGTCAGCGATCCTTCGAGGTGTTTGCACACGGGAAAGCACGAGAAGATAATAATTGAAGACTCCGCTCGTTGCAGCGGGTAGGAGGCGATTGGATTACTCGACAGAATAATACCAACCGGCCGAGCAACATCTGCCCGTACGGTTCGCTCATACATACCACCATTAATGTTATCAACACGGAAAATCGTAATGATTATTTGGGAAAAAAAAAACCAATATTCATAAATCATCGGAATAGCACAATTAACCCGCTTGACTCTCGCCTATTATTCTACGCGTACGCATAGGTCCAGACGGTTAACCGGGTTCCGCGGGCACCAGCTTATCGTTGGGTTCATGTTTAATGTGCAATAAATTTTTTTTCCGTTCGGTTAGTTAATTGTTTCGTCCGTAATTCAACGCGCGTATACGTTTTATGACGGTTTTATCGAACGAAATTAGTGCGATATATCAACTGCGGAGCGTGTCGAAATTTAAACGATCGGACGTCGATCGCGTGAAAAGCAAATCGTTCCACGGCAATCGGATCAGTCGTGGCACGGTAACTAGGCGACACAGTGACCGGCTCCGCTAACCGCGACCGCTGTCTGGAGCGTCGACGATACCGGCGCAAGAGGTAGAAGATCGTAAGGTGGCCGCGTCAGCATGAAGCAGACTGCCGCGACGACCGAAGGTAAACACGCCGCGCCCACAGTGCAGCCAGTGCGCGCCGTTCGAATAACCCCCCGGGCCGTTCGGCCGACGTCCACCCGACTGGAAACACGTATCGGAAAATGATTTCGAAGTTGGGTCCTTATAACCCAACTGTATCTGTTTATTGGCTGCTTTTTATCAATCCGTGTCTACATTTTTTTTTTTTTTTTATTATTATCAACCGTGTGCGATAATGAAACCTGCGATTGTTAAAATATATTATCATTAGGTGTAACGAAACAATTATTACAATTCAGAACGGGAGGTTTTTTTCCCATTCAAACGGGTTCGGGGGTTTTTGTTTTTCTTACGATTCTGTTCATCCGCTTAGGGGTCTATGCAATATTATTGTCCCGAGTATTTACTTGTTAAGCGCCCGCTTTCAATGTCATTCTCCTTGACGTCGCAAGTGGATTCGTGCGCGACTCTTATGACAGCTTCGTAAGTTGGGCGTACCTCGTGTCGAATCATCCGGATAGTTAAGCGATGTTACGCTTTATAAAAGAAACGTCGCTCAGATAAAACACCGGTTAAAGGTCGGCCGCCAATCATGTTACTAAAATTAATAGTTTTCGACGTTTTCGCGACGGTTTAGATGTGCTGTGCCTTACTCACCCAGACATGTCTTGGATACGTGACAATTCTATGACGTGGACGCAGCGTTTTTGCGCCCAAGTGCTGAGGTATGGAGAGATACCGAAACATGTAGCGTTTATAATGGATGGCAACAGGCGTTACGCTAGGAAAAATCATGTTGGGAAGAAAGATGGACATGTACGAGGGTGAGTTGTGATATTTTTTTAAAATAAAAAAAAATAAATGAATTATAAAATATTTTCAACTTCTGTCATGTTCTGGTGGCAACATCATAATAGTATTGTGCTCTTTTCCATTTTAACATAACTATGTTTTACACGGCTTTAAATTATTTGAACACAGACATATTGTCATAAGTAAGGGCTCAAAAGTATTTTTCAATGTCCAGTTTCATGGTATTGAAATAACTTGCAATGTCCAAATTATATTGCATTCATTATTGTACTTAACTATATTTCTAAAATGTGGATGTTAAATGAAAAATATTTAAACAGTATCATTACTAACAGCCATTCGGATTTTATAGAATTCGGGTATTTATTTTTTCATTACTTTTAGAATGTAACCTAGTAAATTTAAGCTGTTATTGATTGAAAATCCAATCTTAATGTCTCTGTAATAATTCTATTTTTTTTTTTTTATTTTATTAATTATTTCTGTTTTCAGATGTATATTTTATATTAATTAATGTATGTTTATTTCATTTTTAGGTTTGACAAATTGTCTGAAACTTTACAATGGTGTTTACATTTAGGTATTAAAGAAGTTACTGTATACGCATTCAGTTTAGACAATTTTCGAAGAACACAAGAAGAAATTGATATCCTATTTGATCTTGCACGAGAAAAGTTTAAAAGACTTTTGGAAGAAAAGTAATATAATATTTTAGTTATTGATATAATACCAAGTTTAGTTATTAACCTACCTATAATTTAATGTATGAATGTATAGGTAAATTTGACTAAATGTTTTTTTTAATAATGTAATGAAAACATTTTTTTATATTATTATTTTTAGTAAAAAGATTTCTAGTCACGGTTGTCTTTATCTATCACATACACAATATAGAAATTCAGATGTTTTCTATTTCTACCCTACGGATCAATCAATAGATGCAAAAAAGATTTGAAAGTTGATTTGAATTTTTAGTAAAAATATACTTTAATTAGACTTTTCCAATTTTTTAAATGTTGTATTTAATATACCAAAAAATTAACTTGATTTTTTTATATTATGATTTTTTAATTCTATTTTGCAAAAATTTTGGGAGACAAAATCAAAAAAATGGGAAAGTCTAATTAAAGTAAATTGTATGACAAGTTTAAATCAATTATAAAAATCCTTATTGCATCAATTGTTTGATCGGTGCATCGGAGATAAAAAATTATATTGCAAATGTAATAGATTGCAATAAAAAATAATGGTTTACAATCCTCTTATAGAGATATTTATTGCTTTATAAATTTCAAATAAGTTTGCTATTTAAATTAAATTTATATATTTTTATGTATTAATATTTTATGGTTTATGAATATTAAAATTTAATTCTGTTATAGGGATAAGTTAAATGAACATGGTGTATGTATAAATTTTGTTGGCAACTTTAAACAACTTCCTGAAGATTTAGTTAAGTTAATAGCTGAGTCAATGTTTATAACAAAGCAAAATAATAAGACATTTTTAAATGTTGCATTTTCCTATACAGGTTAGTTAGTACTTTGCTGTTTAAAATATTATTACATAGTTCAATGAAGTAGTCTGCAATTGTATTTTATTTTTTTTTATCTTCAATTTGTGACTAAAATTTATGCATTACTTACAATTTTAATTAAATTGTTATCATTCATCACTGATAAAATTATTTTATATTTTATATATTTCTTAAAATTGTAATTTATTAATTTTTGTAGGATACATCTAATTTACTTATTAATATATGTATGTTATCTAAATATTATATAATAAATAGAGGTATTTTTAAAACATAAAAATAATACTTTATTTGAATTTATCTGATCACCCAAGTTAAATATCATTAGTATATTTATAAAATATTAATAAATTTAATAAATTATTGTGAACTCACAATGTTGTACCTAATTTACTTTAAAAAATCAACTGCTAGTTTTATGCATGAACACAATTTTAGACCTATTAATAGTGTATACCTTTGTACCTATTATAGTAGATTGCAATGTAATTAAAATAATATTTTTATTTTGATACATTAAAATTTATTATGTACAAAATAGTTCATACTAAAGTTTTATTATTTATTATATATTTTTCTAGGACATGATGAATTAACAAATGCCTTTAATCATATATCTAATGGTATTAAAAATAAAGATTTGGAGGAATCGGATTTATCTGTTGAAATAATTGATAATTGTTTATATACATATCCGTCCCCGCCACCTGATTTATTAATACGCACATCTGGTGAGACTAGACTGAGTGATTTTATGATATGGCAGGTGATTTAATCGTTTTCACTAGTTAAAAATATGTTTTTTTTTTTAATTAAGTACTATTTAACATTTTGTTTTTGTGTTCCAGTGTTCTTACAGTTACATATATTTTACATCAACATTATGGCCAGAATTTTCCGCATGGGATTTTATGATTGCTATTTTCATGTATCAAAGAAATCTTCGAGAATTTTTGCGTTATAGATCACCATCTAGAAGATTGAGTTCAAGAGCTGAAAAATTTGTTGAAAATGTAAAACAAAAACGATTGAATAGTCTGTATACAATTGCGTGATAATATTGTTGTTATTTTTTCTTCATTTATCAAAATAATTTATTTACATAATTATATATGTGTGTATATATACAAATGGTATATATATTTATACTTGAAAGTTATACATATTTTTAAATATAATATTTTTTTTTTAATAAGTCCTTTTTTACAATTCTATACATTTTGGTGGTACATTTAATTCATCACTGTTTTCACTGTTAAAATTTCCACATAAACCACATGTAAATCCTCGCAATTTACTTTCAACCAGCATAACTACTGTATGGCCATAGTGTTGAATAGTTATACCGGAAATAATCTCAAGGTCAGTCATTTCTTGGTCCCATTTTTTTGCTCTTTAAATGTATACAATTTTAAATAAATGTCTTTTGTTAATTGAAATTAGAAACAGTTACCTATAAAGAAACCAATCATCTTTATTTTTTGGTGGATATTGTACTCCAGTAGAAGTGACTTCAATCTCTGTACCATTCACATATATTTTTATGTTTGAATTATCTTGAATCATGTCTATTATACTGTTCTGACTTGATACACGTACATTCTATGGAACCACATGTGTAAAATTACAAGTTAGTCAAAATATATATTTTATATGATTGTTATATTTAAACTCACCAAAGTGGAATTACTAGTGTTCATTTTGATACCAACCGCAAAGCGTGCTAACGGTGAACAGTCTGCTAAAGCTACTGTATAACAGTCTTGATTTAACTTGAAATTGTGCATTGTTGAGTTGTCCAAAGTCAATGCTGTTTTGGAATTTACTGCGCAAATTCCTTAAAACCAAACATTTTTTGTTGAATTTCTTTATTTTCATAAACATATGTAATAAATTTACTAAACTATAAGAATACCTCTTGTAGTCCAAGGAAGTTTGGTGGGGAATGTAAATTTTACTGTGGTCTTATTGCCATCATCAATTACAACATTTGGAAACAATGAATGCATTGTGATTATCATCCAACTCGGTAACTAGAAACAAATAAAAAAATTAACATTGTGAATAAATGTGAAGTAATTTATTTATTTCGATAGTTACTGTGCACCTCTTTTGTTTAAATTAATATTGAATTATAATTCTATTAAATTTACCCAACCAATTAAAATTTGTGAACTGGATTGCAACATACATCATAACTACTTCATTTGGCTAGTGAAATGCTCATACATTCATTGGGAAATCATTGCAAAAAATGTTAAATATCTGTTTATAAAAAAAAAAAAAAAATAGAAATTTTATGGTTTTTAATATGCACTGCATATTCACATGTGGTCCGCGATGGTATTCTATGTGGTTCGTTCAACATTTTTAAAATCAAACATAATATTAAAAAAAAAAAAAAGTAAAAGTATTATAAAATATAATTTTTTATTGATTTTATTTTTTACATTTTCAAATAGACGAAAATAAATTCAATATGTACCTTCATACATATTGTATACCTACTATACCATGTGTTATAAAATTATGTAAATTAGATTAATATTAACATTAGTACTTTTGTACTTGGTGGTTCGCTTGGAGATAATTGTTTACTAAACTGGCCCACCGAGAAAAAAGGTTAGGCATCACTCAGTGGCCTAGTGAATGATGTTTTTCTAATGAAATTGCTTAGTCCTAGAAATCTACTAAGGGAATGGGTATCCCTTGACTCATGGATTTACGATGTATTTACGAACATATATTATTTAAATAATTCAATTAATTAGTTAATGACATGCATTGAAAAATTATATAATATGCGTATATGAAAGACAGGTAATTGAAAGAGTTAAGTAAAATCCTATAGTACAATAGATTAGTTAAATCATTATATAGTAGGAGAGAGGCGGTAGTGGGTAAACATAAATACTTTGCATAGGGTTTGAAATATGCTTGCCACACTACTGGCATCACTGGTGTATATTGAACAAAAATAAAGTACAACAAGTACAAAAGGATGAATCAAATAAATGTAATTGATAAAATATGATACGGTATAATAACTAATGTGATATGTTACCGTATGCTTATTTTATTTTTTATTTTTTTGTTTTGAGTAATTTATTAATTAAGCTTTCAGTATTACCGATGTAGCTGGTCTAATGATTTTTGTAAATAGGTAACAATATAGTCTGTCTTATGTAGTAATGTAAGTTTAAATTTGATTTAATTAAAAGAAAATAGTGAAGCACTAGCACTATAGAAAGAAATATTACCAACAATGACGTTTCTAAAGTAAATAATAATAACAGTAAAAATGTAATGTTTACTTTGGTAATAAGACTCTACGATTTAAATTACCTTACGGTTTTAAACCCAATCGATTTAAAACATACCATATTAATATGCGTACTGTACTTATTTTACAGCTCAATATTTTTAAGAAGATAACATTGAAAAATGTAACTATTTGATTTAGAAATTATTTTTAAATTGACATAAAATTAACATTACAACAGTGAGGTTGGTGGGTATCTGGTACAATTTGTAAGAAAAATATGTAAATATTAGGTTTGGTCTATAAATGGTATTGATTAGGTATTGTAATCATATTACTTACCTATCTCTTATTTCATTAATCGAATTTATCGACGTATATGTTACAGGCAATATAGAATACTAGTCGATGTACACAATGCTCGGGCAATTTGGTCCTGTCTGGATAATTTGGACCTCGAATAGAAATATTAACAATACTTATTGTTATAACTGTGCAATATTTTATTAATAATTTATTATACTTTTATTATAATACAGAATAAAGTATCAGTGTAATATTTCTTACTGTTTGTATTCTTCTATCTTATATATATATATTGTTTTCCCATAGGTTACATAGGCTACGTTGACATAATCAGACAATAATATATTAATAACAATTGATATCTATGATTAAACAGTCAATTTTTCGTGGTTCTCAAGAAACTTTGTACTTTGTAATTATTTATTCATATATTTATTCATATTCGAAACTCAAATTCCCCAGGTAGGACCAAATTTGGCTGCATACGAATTGCGTCCCGCGGCAAAAATTCATTCCGAATTGCGTCCCGGGTTCTTTTGGAGGTCATACTAATTGCGTCCCGGGTTTTTTTGGTGGTCATACTAATTGCGTCCCGAATTTTTTTAACTTTTATAGGTACCAATTGAGTCTCGTATATTATAAAAACTAAACAATATTTCCCTTCCCATTTTTATACAGACTTAGGACTGTCTGTAGTAATAGTTACTAGTTTACTACTACAGGTATGTTAAAAATATTATGCCTTTTCGTAGGTTTTTAATTCCTTATCAGGAAGTAGAAAAAATAATAGTGGTATATATTTATCATTTTGTAAGCCATGAACTGTGAAGATTTGAGTAAAAAGGCTTGGGCAACTTTTGAAAGTTCCGTCAACAAAAATTGTATCAACATTACAATAACATTACAATCAACATAACCAATAATTTCGACTTTAAAGATATCACAGGTAATGGGGACGCAATTCAGACGTGCTCAAGAAAAACCCGGGACGCAATTAGTATTATACCTTTTTATACCTTTTTATACGGGACGCAATTCGTAAGCAGCGCCAAATTTGCCCGAACAATGTGTAAATTGGGCGTAACATATATATTTCATCATTCGTTGTTGATGTATGTACATTTTGTAGTGAGGTATGTTGGAGCTCAGATGTTCGTATTGTTTTTTTGTCCCATCTAGAAATTGATCTACATAGTATTTTCAGCACGCGATTCCCATTTCCCAACCCCCTACAAGCGTCTTACACCATTTGCGGCTCCCAAACTCTTCGGACCCGCGGTGCCCTATCGGAACATAGGTCATATCGCTCTTGATAACGCGCAATCGTTGTTCGTCGTGTTAATTACAAAATAACAACGGCGCGCACTTCTGTGCACTTCGATCACTCACGTTGACGAACTGTAGCGATATGATCTGACTGGTGGATATGTCGCTGGCAGTTTGTAGGCACGTCGGCGAGTCGACGATGCACTGGTCGGGCCACGCCTCGTTCGCATTCGCCGGCTCGATGGACATGATCATCGTGGTTGCCGAGTCATGGTACCCCCAGGAGACCGTGGCATTGCCGTGCAACGGCGGCGGCGGGTGCAGGGCGCCGGACTTGCGGGATGGCAGGATGAACGAACCCTCGAACCTCAACAGGCGCCAGTAGCCGTTGGTGATGGTGATGTTGCGCTCCAAGTTCGTGTGGCTCAGCTTGAACGATATCTCTTGGTTGCCGTCGGCGATGCGGCCGTAATGCGCGATCAGTCCCCAGAGGATCTGGTCGTAATGGTTCATCGTCACGCGCACGGTGTTACCCTCCTGGATGAACCTGGGCACGACCTGTGGCAAAAATCGTGTGGTTTGCGGTCATGTTGTCGGAAAAGAAAATGATAATAATAACAATAAATGTATATATATTTCCACAGGGCCGCCATGTATTCCTTGTCCGAAGTGCGATCGTTGCAGATGACAATGTCGTCATTGCCTTTGGTCACCCTTATCCAAAACTACTACCGTATTACCAAACATACTACACCGTGCACTGCGGTTCGATGCCACGTTTGATGCATTTTCACCGGACTCGGACGGGTCGAATCGATCGGATACGTGTCACGATTACGAAGCTGTCGCATCCGATCAAATCTTACGCAGCTTAGATTTGAAGCGCTCTGGGATGGATATTCCGTTGTTCGCATAAAATACGAATCAAACGTATGTGTTGGGATTGTATTCTGTGGCTATGTTAAATAACTCCGATGTTATGTCAAACATGCGATCGGAAAAATAAACAAAGGATTATGCTGGTTTCGGGGATTTTGGCGGTGTCGCGTTGAATTGCACCTCACGAGCAAAAATTATTCTACGCCCGTCACAAGGGTAGGCAGTATTTGTATAAATAATCGAAGATGTGGGTCTGTCCGTTGACATACCTGTAATGGCGATATGGACAATATCAATCCGCAGCTATCCTCTGGTGGGATGAACGTAAAATAGTTTGACAGCGAATAGATACCCAGAAGAGCAACTCCGCCGGGTATTGACCTGAGGAATGAAAACGTTTCGTAAAATTCTAATGTTACGGACTTAGCAACAATGGTGATGTGTTATTCGATTGGTAAGTTCAAGGTTTAACTTAAACGTCGGCTGCATACTACTTGCGTCCCGATATCGGGACGCAAGTCAGCTATGTCATAACTATCGATATGTTTACTAAAATATGTGATATCTATCAATAACTCATTAAATTTACTATATTGGTCCAATAAATTGAGTGAATCCTCATTTGGTCATTATATTAGTAATATTAGGCTAAACAATTATTTTACACCAATGTTTTTTTTTATATATCCAATATCCATGTATTTATATGAAGTTATAAATAGTATACAATTGGTATTTTCCCGATCAAATAATCAATACTTTTTCTATCAATTATCGGGACGCAAGTAGGTAATGGCCTGTTATCACAACTTACCTACTAAATAAAATTTAGGACGCAAGTAGTATGCAGTGCATACTATGCACCGTAAATGTTTACCTACTGGACAACCCTCTACATGGTCATAAGATTTAATAAATTAAAATTTAAATTAAATTTTTTAAAATTAAAAATTCCCAATTTACCTATTACGTCTATGAAAAAAAAAAATGGTATAGGCTGTAAGTTTTTCCTTAAAAATGCCTTTCATATTTGATCAAGTCAAAATAGATTTTAATTTGATAAACTATAAAACAATAAAATAATTTTAAAAACGGTTGAATAATTTTAAAAATACTCTTTATTCTTTATTTAAAAAATAGTTGAGTCAATTCTTGTGTGTTTGTAATAATTTATAAATTTTCAATTAAAAAATGTGCATAAAAATAATTTGAAATTCAAAATTCAATTATTTGAAATTCACTCGATGTTAAGAATAAAATAATCAATGACATGCATGGGCGGTGTATGAATGTTTACTATTTATACATTTTTCAAACAGAAAATAATAAGTATAATAAATTATACACTCACTGATAGTTTTTGTTACTAATTTGAAATGCTTCTTTGATGATCATTAGCGAATTCGAAAACTTGCCCTCGTCTTGGCAATCGAAAACCGTAGTAGCAATTTTCGCTCCCAAATCTCTCGACTCGAAAGCCCAATCCTTTGTACATTAATATTGCATAATTAATAAGCTGTGTTACACACAGTCGTATAACGCACGTACGGGTAACATGGATATATAGGCGTCTGCACGGTGTCTTAATTTGTTTCGTGTATCCGTGTACGTAAACGATTACATTGTATACTATAATTACTCTATTGCAACACATTTCAAATGTAACGGGACCACGTATTTTCGTATAATATATTTATGTATGTATGGGTATATATCAGAGTAGGACAAAAACAAATCAAACTGATGAATAAAAAATAAAAGCATGAATAACTAATTATTTTGTAAATAAAGAATAATAATTTATTTTAAATAGTTTTAGTTTTGAATAAAAATTAAAAATTGTTCTGAATAAATAAATAAAATAAAATGTGAATAATATCCAATTATTGGAAATATTTGTGTTGCTTGACCATTGCGGTACTAGTTGCATTGTCAGTTGTAACTGTATTAAAACTTAAAATATTAGAAAATCTTTTTTTCCAATGCCAGAAGACTAGAAGACTTTTTCGAATTAATTTACTATACATCAATTATTTACTGATAATAACCTTTAATTTTTGTTGCAAACATAATAGTGTGGGAAAAATCATATCGCAAAATTCACTTTTATCTCTTTGTAATATGTCCAATTTTAAATAATCAATCAGATAATTTTCTATTCGACTAATGTCCAATTCTGGTAAATACTGACTTTATCGGTAACGTTAATCAACGCTAAACGTATGCAATAAAAAAGTAATTAGATTGAACGAATTTTTAATTCATAAATTCAATAATCAGATTATTTTCAAATTATTTATACAGATTTTTTTTTTTTTTTTGGTTTACGTGTGCTGTTTTCCAGGTAATGATTATTATAAAATGTAGGTATACGCCTGTAAAAAATATTCGGTTGTGGCTTAGTTCGTTCAGTTTGCTTAGTGCGCACGCCTATGGTTATACTGTACGTGTATAATGAAATTGGGAGCGTTTAAGACGGGAAAAAATATATTTTACGTACGTCGGTGAGCGGCAATTCGTCTGTTTTAATTGTCGGTGACGTAGTGTTTTCTAGAGGAAACAGCTTAGTTGCGGAGTGCCACACCACTCCCAGTTTTGAACCGTCGACGAAATTTTTGTACCTGTAAGCTGACGCTTTCACGTAAGACCTGGAGTAATGATATATTATCTCGGTGGAAAACGGTATTCTTGCGTGGATGCAACGGAAACGGTCTGCACCGCGCCACGTATTACTCAGTGGGTTGAATGTTTTCAGACTGGTCACGGTGTTCATGGAATACCTGAAACCGTACATACGTGTTAAGGTAACAGGATTTCTGAAGCATAATGATCAACAGTGGTTATTGTTTAGGGAGATTTTCCACTGGACGCGATGCTGTTTTTTTAATTATCAATTACCGTTCACTCCAATTAAAATTGAATGCTGTATATTATATTATTTTACTGCAATCTATATATCTATAAAACACAAAAATTGTTTTTACCTTTATGCATTCCTAAGCTAATTAATCGATTTTGATGAAATTTGAATACAGCGATGGATGAAGATAGATGAATATTGATCCTTAAAAGCATAGTCGTTTTAAGGATCAATATAATTTTCAAGTCAATCGTGTAATAGGGAATTAAATTATACGTTCGACAAATAATATCACGAAAATATCTTACTTCACCATACCTGTCCATTAATAGTTTAAATGAACTTTTAACTCGTTTACACGATTCCACTTTTACTGATACATACAAATTAATCTTAAACATTCTCTTACAATATTCCACGGTCTGTACTTTACTATTCGTATTCTACCTTAGTACTTTAGGCTTTCAATACTACTATTAATCGCGATACATGTTGTTTTTAAGTCGTGGCTGTAAATGTGTTTACCGAAAATCCAATTCCGCGTCCCTGGATTTTCCACTCTCCGTCTGTTTGATACTCCCGCGCAGCGACAACAACGAAGCCGTTCTAAACTGAAGAAGAATCGGAGTGCCAAAATCTGTGAACTGTGTCTGCTGGAAACGCAATGGGAACGAGAGGCGTTGGTAGTTCAAACTAAACTGGAAGTACAACGAACTCAGCTTCCTGAACACTGCGCAGACATAAAATTTTACATACAATAATATTGTATATTATACGTTCATGAAGATCGAGATCGATGTGGTGCACTAAACAGATGAGTTAGATCGGTTAGGACAGTATATTGTTTGCTACCCAAAATAGGTGTGCAACGTGTAAAAGTGTCACGCTGTTAAGTGATCGCGATTCGGCTGATAACGTGTTGGTCACCGATTTGTTGTGTAGGGACTATTCGAAAATCAACGGTACATATGTGCACAAAGTAATCGCTAGTGAGGCAGCGCAATTATTCAAGACGAGCGAATTACTAGAGGAGTTTGGTAGTACCCGTCAGGAGCATATTTTTAACTTTTTTATCGGATGAATTGCGAAAAACTATGGTAATTTATACGTTTACTTGACTTTTGAGAATTACTCGACTGAAAAAAGTCTACGAGTGCATGATGATTTGATAACATCGAGTTGTCAAATATTGTTTCTACGCGGACGACGTGCGAACGAATAAAATATTACCCATTTCGCAATAATTGCATACGTTTTATTTCGTGTAGTCAATACGCGTCTATAACCATACGTAATGTCGTGTATTGTTCTCACCAAGTGCGTAATTGTTGAACGTAGTCATATTCAAGTGGTGACAGTAAATGGTCTGCCCGTTGATTTTGACTATCGTTTCAAGATGAAGGTCCTCGTCGTTCTGGATTTCTAACTTGGCTTTTTTTAGTAACTCCAGCAGCTTGGAAATGTCGACCGGCTCGCCCGGCGAATTGGCCATCGCACCGATCAGTTCTATTTTTAAGCTGTCTGCGAACCCTTCGGCTTTCACGTGGATCTCAAATTCCGAGGACATGCCAAACGAATGTTGTTCGGCCGTCAACCGGAGTAAGGATGGCAGTCCCGTGCGCTGATTGGCCACCAGGATGGTCTGCATGATACCCCCGTACCCTCGCAACGGATCCTCGTAGTCCAATAGATAGTTGCCGGTGGCCCAATGGTGCCATTTGTGTTGCACGAACCTCACGATCTGTGAGGCTATTTTTCTGCTGCAATGAAAAACCAATCGTTAATACACATTACCGGTCGGTCTGTAATATGATTTTTTACGTATGAGCTCCGAATTCTCAAAAGTATAACACTACAGAGACCGATCAAAAAAAGAAAGCTTAACGTATCGTCATCATATTGTTCTTTACGCATGTAAATAAGTATTATTAATGTTATATTTTAAAATCGAAAGTTAATTTATAGATATATACCGTGTTAACATGGAAAATTCGTCCCGGATAGTAAAGCTAGCGTGTATGTACTCTGATTTTTAATAAAAATGTTCATAAAAATGTATATAATACAATTGTATAGTTGATAAAAATTTAAGTGTCGTATAATTTATGAATTCAATATTTTAGTCCTAATATAAATACTAAATATGTTATTTACTACATAATTATACGGATCAGACAAAACGTGCTGCATTTTTTCTGCGTGTTTATTTTCACGTTTGACACTATTTGCGCTCTTTTTCCACTTACGGTAATTTCACATCTGTTACACCGTATCTGTCCACCCACATACATGTTCACATATTTTAGTTTTTTGCGCGTGTACCATATATTCTATAATGTCTTACCGGTCACGTTAGTTTTAATGGTACACACGCCTAAATTAAATGGTGTAGCAACATGATTTTTTTTTCATATCTTTATAACTATTGCATTCAATGGTCCACATTTTTCATTTAAATGTAAGCATGGTATGTGAGTGAATTATTTGTTAAATACTTCAATTTTTAACTGCAGTAATAAGTTTAAAGCAGTAAAAGTCTTGCTATATAGTTAATATTTTATTACTATTTTAACTTATTAGCTATTCCGCATTTTTAAAGGTATAGCCTACATTTGGTGGTAGGCACTGAAGAGTTGTATATTACTTACTTAGTAGGTAGCAGATTTGGGCGTTATTCGAATAAAATTTTATTTAGATGATTATTTAGATAGAATTTTATTCGAATAAATTATTATTCGATTAATTTTCAAATACAATTATTCGAATAAATTATTATTCGACTAATTTTCAAACACAATTATTATTAGATATCATAAATTCAAACCAGTGGCGTATTTACGGGGGGGGGGGATATGGGGGATAGATCCCCCCCTTGACCTTTTTTTTTTTCCTAGGTAGCTATAAGTTGTCTCATTTTCTCTAATATTCTTAATATGATATTACTTTCAAGCATGTATGTTTTCTGTTTTCTAAATGTTCTTGTCGCGGTAATTGTACCGCTCTGATAGTCTGGTATACTAATCGCCACTAATCGTTTATCGTTGGCGGCATGTACGACTATCAGGCAACAAAAACTATACCTATATTATGGTGTACTGTATTTTGTACGTTTCTGCGAATTATTTTTCATGCAAGAGTGTTTATAATAAACCCGATAAGCAATCGGTAAACAAAACAAAATTACCATGAAGACCGTGGATTAACCATAGGGCGGCCGGGCGGGTTTATTTTTAGAAAATTTGTTACTAGTAGATTTATGGCTAATGTATAGCTATATATATATATATATATATTATCGTATGATATCGTGATTCGTTAAAAGTAGATATGTACGGTCGTTGGTCGTTGACGGATAGCGACGCCGCGCCATTCTGAGTACTGACTTACTGCCGAATTGACTATTGTTCGACTTTATTTTTTGCGTCTTGTAAGTTGTAACTGTGAAGTTTTAAGACAATATGAGTAATACTCAAAAACAAAAAAAAACTTTATTTTCTTATTTTAGTACAAATAAAAAAATTTGTTTGGAAAATGATGAGGTAATTATAAAGATTAATTCTTATTTTGCCTTGATCCACACTAACCTCAATAGGTAACAAGTTAGGGGATTTTAAAAATGTATATTATGTACGAATTTATGGGTGTTAGGATGTATTATTATATATTTCATCCCCCCCTAGCAAAATTCCTAAATACGCCACTGATTCAAACAGATAATTTTTATAGCTACATGCCCGTATATATCTAGTATCTTTATATTTTTGTGTAGAGCTCTATATATTTGAACTTATAAATATGAAATACAACATTGAACATACGTAGTTAGTACATAGTACCAAAATGTCTGAAACCATATAATATAGTACAGAAACTGGACTAAACTAGATATAATAATAACATCTTCAATATTGATAATTAGTTACTATTAAGGTTCATACTAAATACATGTAGACAAAATAGAAGAATATTATAATCATTATTTCATAATACATATTTAATAATTAGTACTAACTACTACTATATATACTAGTATAGGATAACTATGTTTAAAAATTATTCAAATAATATTATGATCACAAATTATTCCAATAATATTGTTTCCAAATTATTCGAATACATTTTTATTCGATTAATATTGTTTCTAAATTAGTCGAATAAATTTTTATTCGAATAATATTGTTTCTAAATTAGTCGAATAATTTTTTATTCGATGAATTGTAAAAAAACTATTTGAATAAATTTTTATTCGAATACATATTTATTCGTTTAATTATCTAGATAAAATTTTGCCCAACTCTGGTAGGTAATATACTAAATTAAAATGTTATGCTTACATAAACGAGTTTTAAGGTTTAGAAAACATATCTAGAAAAAATAAAGATAATTATTATACTGTATATTATATTTTATTTCATCAATTTATATTACACATTATTTAAAAATGTATCATGATTTCAAAGCAATATAATATCATCAGTAGCTATGTACTCTTAATTTCCCTGATTTTTTTCACAATATGGTTCAGTCTTCTCCTTCATTAATACATGTAGGCCAGTTGTAAAGAGACAAATAAAATCTTTGGTAGTTTATTGGTATATATTGCATGGTTTTTTGAGGTCCTCAACTTTTTCTACAGAAATAGGAACTTTTTGTTTTGAGGCTACTTCGGTGGTGAGCTTCATTTTGTTTCCAGCTGTTTGATGTGGTAACCTCAGATCGATGTTATGAGAAACAAAACCATCAATAAAACTTGAACAATTGATTTTATTTTTCAAGATCGGTTTACTAAAGTGGATAAATTGGTTATATTTGGAAATTGAAAATGTAATTTTTTGTGTTTTTGGGACATTTCTGCCATAAGAAGCTTCTGAAAGACATTTTTTCTTATAATAAAATAATCTTTGAAATTTAAAATATCTTGCTGTTTCACCTTTTAAATTTTCAAATTTTTCATTGAGTTGGCTATAATATGCCTTACAGTATACACTCTATTATGCTTTTTTAAATTTCTCTTAATAGCCCCAAAAATCCTGTCACATGGTAAGAAAGAGTGACCTCTGTTGGCGTAGAACTGAATAATGATGTCAAATAATTTCAGTACAGTAAGCTCATTGAAGTATCGTACGACCATGTGATTCTTATTTTGACCTCCACAGCTGTCAGAAAACAAATACAGATTTTTTATATCTTTATTTAACACATTAGTTGAAATATAATCATGTAAAAAAGAAGTAACTGAATCAGGTCCATTTCCACCTACACCTTGGTGGTAAACATAAAGTTTGGACTTATTTGTAGATAGATTAGTTACACAAAATACATTTACCGTTAACTGTTTATAATAAAAAATATCCTGAACTGGAATATTAAGCAGAGAAAGGTTCATCATGAAATTATAACATAGAGCAACACAAGTTTTTTCTGGAATTTTTTTTTTATTTCTTTGAGTTTCTTGTAAAATTTATTGGCACGTCTCTGATAAACCAACTTTTCAGCATCTGCCACTCTTTTTGCTACAGGGTTAAGGTGAGGATTTTTAAGACGAACATTAATAGTCTCACATGTGGCACAACTGTCAACTTGAGGTCTACCAAATTTTAATGAGAAACTTTTATGAAAAATTTATAAGTTGTATTCATACTTAATGTCATTTTCTGGATATTTCATCTTAAATAATTCACGCATAAGTTGTACATTAAGTTCAGCTGAGAAGTAATAAATTTCTTTAGAGCTATAATCTGATACTTTTTGGGAAAATGACTTAATATGATCGATCACTTGCAACACTGAATTTCCTTTTTTGGCAAATGAACATAGTGTAGAGCCACGCATATCTACAGGAGATTTTCCAGACAGTAAAAGGCACGTAAGTCTTCTTACTCTATTGTCAGTGACACCGTAGATTGAACAGAATGCTTTTTTAAAAACTCTAATTTTGTTAATTTTAATGTTACCTTCGGAAACCAAATTTTTATAATAAAAGTTCGCAGCTCTGGGCTTATTGTTTAAACCCTCCAGATTTCTTGGTCGTTTACGTACCATATCGGTTTTCTCAATAAGACCCTGAAGAAAAGTATCCTGTTGATTTTTTGTCTGCAAGTGATCTGAAACCCATAAAAATATCTAAATGCTCGTGCTCTCAAGTTCGCTCAAAACACTTCATAATACATCTGAAAAATATAAGTAAAATATCAGTATCTAATATAGGAATTTAAATATATAATGAATAATTATATCACCAGTATTAGATTAAATATAATATTTTAAGTACATATAGGTACTTTATATTTTATAATAAATAATAATAATATTTTAAATATTTGTTAAATATTGTAAAAATAAAATAATGAAATGACAAATTCCGAATTAAAATGTTGTGAATAACCTGTATGGCAGAATTCAATGAAAATTCGCGGTGAAAAAATGCGACAAAAAAAGGATGTGATTAGCCATTATTTAATTATTATTACTTATATTGTTTCTATTTATTTGTAAACTTACTTGCAAGATTCGTCCACAGAGTATGCTGTTATTTGTTTGTCTGCATGGTTTGTGTAAGCCTTACCTTTGAGGATAGCCTCTTTAATAACGTTTCTCTTGTAACTAGAAACATTTGACACTCCCTTTTTCCTTTTGACAGGAGTAACATCATCCGTATGCTCATAATCACTAACAGAATTACTGTTTTCCATTATAAAATAAAATAACTACTAACTCTTAGAAAAACTTTTTTAACTACTCGTTAAACACAATAAACAGATTGAAAAATATAAACTATTAAAAATAAACAACAATAACCTCACACTGTGTACTTTTATCATTGTATACCACGTTATAACAATATTATCATCAAAATAATAGTCTTTATATTTGTACATTTAACATGCACAAATTTATCTTAGCGGATATTGAGTGTAAAAACCCCACTTATCCAGGACAAATGTGGTTTTTATATAAAACATGCGTCTATTATAGTAGATTAAATAACTAAAATAAAAACGATTTCAAAAAATATGTGACGTATGGTTTTTACAATCATCGATTCACTTACTACTTGTTGTAGCACGGGTATTTGGAATTGGCTATCGAGTTGATCGTCGTGTAGTAAAAGTTGTAGATCTGTTGGCTGGGCTCCTCCTGCATGAACCAGTAAAGCGTCAAAAACCGTGACACAGTCGGCTGTGACATCATGAGCATGTTTAACGCGGATGTTCGGATTTCGACCGGTTCAGAACGGTTCATCAATATTGGCCAAAATACTTCGGAGACCTGTAAGGATGTAATATTTTACACTGTTCGCATCATTATCGTCATGTTACCTACTGCGCCCGGGGTGGATTATGTGAATGGGATGTATTACAGTATTCTACAATATGCGTACCTTTTCGGGATGATCGGTGGTAGCAGATTTTGTCGCCCAAATCGCCACTAGCCTGATATGTCTGTTACGGTCATGGTCCGTAATAATCGGTTGCAAGAATTCTAAGGTATTATCAATTTTCATGTTACTAAATGCTTCGATGTACAACATTTGCTCGTTGTGCGTCGTAGATTCTAAAACGAAACATTCAAAAGTACTACACTTTGTGCTGCACGACAAAAATGTACAACAATAAATTAAATACGAGTAAGTGTAATTTAAAAATAATTCGTAACACTTAACTCGTAAGTGCGAACTACGAGATCATAGAATTTAATACGAAATATCAACCAAAGAAATAGATACATTACTGTTTGTGGCGTATCTATATCGGTTATAAAACATAGGTATTTTCGGATTTGGGTAACCATAACCGATGTTTTAATTAAAATTTAAAATATAACCACATATACTTAATAAATACTAAAGCAGGGTTCACACTACATCGTGCTGTTTCGTGTCTTCTAAAATAATTATCTCTAATTGGCTGAACCATATTGTTACATCAAGGTATACAATATAATAAATCACAAGTTACTTCACTAACAATGTTACCGTGAAGTTGATTTCAGCCAACTTTTGAACGTGTGGTTACCGATTTTAATAGTTATAGTTTAATATTCTATGATAAAATTATACATAATAATCGGAAGATGTTGCATTTGCATGGTTTTATTGGGCTATTCAATTTATTGTTTAGTAACCTTGAAATTATTTTCATGACACCACGAAAAACCTAACGGGAACATTTTGAAAGAAAATTTCAAATTTTAAGCTATTTATTTTATTTTATTTTATCTTATATATTTAAACCTAGAAATTATATTTAGCGTAGTATAATATACTAACACCATTTGCATTGTTGTCATGTACGAGTATATTAAATAAAATATATTTATTTATGAACATTTTTTCGTTAAAAAAAAATTAAGTGCATATTTTTAAAGCATATTTGTACTTTTCTAAGCGCATCAGTGCATGCATATTTAGTACTTTTTAAGTGCATTAAGTTCCGAGTCCTAATAATAATATAATACATACTGTCTATTATATAATTTAATATTCATCAGTTATTATTTATTGAACTTATGAAAATATTTCATATCTAATAAAAAAACCACGAAAATATGTAACTAAAATTTGATAAATCACCGTAAGATATATATTGGTATCACACAATTTCAAAGAACACGGTCTAGTAGAATACATGTCACGGGCTTAAGTTTAAATTGTGTTGTGGAAATGTTTCAGTACCAGATACATGTTCACGATTAATGCACCACGAAATGGAAAAATAAGAATTTGGTTACTAGCACTGTAAGTATATACTTGTAAATCTAATATTTTAATATAGTGCAGTTGCAAACATTTTATGGTGATAATTTTTAATTTTCGTTTCTAGATTAATGTAAAAATTATCGTCGTGATATGTTGAAGTTGTTGTTGAGTTGCATGTATTTTGTGGTAACGATATTTAATATTTACGACAATCAAAAAATTTAAAATCAACTAATAATTGTTCTCATTCAATTAAAGTTATTTTTAACGTTTTAGAAGTACTCGTATTTTTGAATGTTTGAAAAATGTTAACGTTATATTATTTAATTGCGAGATGTGATTTATGATATTTTAAACCATTTTTTTGTTTTAAAGTGTTTGGTAATTGAAATATAATACGACGTAGTACATCAATATTTTTATAATGGCGATACCAAAGTGTATTTCTATATTTACATTAGATTGCGGAAAATGGCGTACGACAATGTTTAAATAAACTTTTCTTAATATTTTGCAGTTGACTTAAATATATATGAATTATTCATTGGATTTAACATACTATCGACTTTCAACAAAATTTATGAAACTTTATAATTTAGTTATGTCCTTATAATCCAATACGGTGGTGATTCGAAATCTGGATGATAGATAGTGGACTATCGTGTTAATATTGTGGAGTCACTCGGTGTCGGCGTGCTCAATCGCTGTTGATTGTTTACACATTTTAGTCTTTTTTTTTTTTATATTCTTTGCATATTATAGGTATTATTCTTGATTTAATCGCTTTTATATGATGTCAAGTAAATTGTAAATATAACAGTTGGAATAATGGACGTTTAAAAAAAATTTATTATTATTCAAAGTTTACGATCTGTATCGATTATGCAGGTACTTTCGTTCTAAATTTTAAATTATTAATTGAAATACATATAAAATACATTTAATAGACCGATCAAATATCTCTTTATTTTTATAATCATTGGTTGATCATATTTTAGTTATATATAAACTACATTAACATTAAAACATAAACATAAACATTTAAACAACTGACCTTTGAATTTGTCTAAGAACAGTCGTATGAAATGGTTTTGTGTGTCTTCCGAGCACATTCCTTTACTGCACGTTTTATGTATCAATGAAGCAAAACTTAAAATCGCTACTTTTCTTACTTCAGCTTTAGTATTATCTTCATCAAGGTACAGTAACATTTCTGATTCTTTAAGAAGTTTTTCGTCAGGATATCTAACGTGGTAAGGAAACGTTATCAACAACCCGGTAGCCAAAAAACTCGTAACTCTTTGTGACTTAATCAGTTCTCGGATGAACGCTACGGAAGAAGCTGATCCAACTTGAGGTACTAAGTCCCAAAAAAAATGTCTGGAAAAACGCAAGCAAAACGTTGACACGCTACAATCATTTGTTACAATGTAATCCAAGCAAATCATATCATTAATACGAACTGTATGGTTTCTTGCGAGTAACTAGTTCCGATTTTTATAGTATCGTATAATGTTGTCCAATCGGAAGTGTCCAACCACCACATGAGTTCCAAAGCTCTAAATTCCGTTTGATTGTCTAGGTCAGTTGTTCCGAGTTCCCAGCTTAAGCTTTCTGTTAGTTGACCAAGTATATCGTGTATCTGTAAATAAAATAATGACAATTTAGATCTCGTCATATTCTATCGTACGCAAAGGTTATGAACAATTTACTTCTGCCAACAGTTGGGATTTATTGGACGACTTATAACCTAATGTAGGGTCTTCGTAGTGCTTAAAATCGTATTCGATCGAGTCTTCTGTTTTTGCTTCCAACGTGATTGGATCGGTGATAGGGACCATTTCTTCCAGCTCAATCGTTTGACTGCGGAGAGCATATTTTCGTGTCAGTGAAACTATTATTGTTATATTGTATTTTTTACAATTAACTCACTTAACAAATATATGATGCGATTCTGCTAATGCTTGAAATGGTTGGAATTCTACTGTGCCGATAACGTTCAAGTATTGAATTGTATTGGTTTCATCCAAAGTATAAGTTCGAACACTATGACTCATGCTTCCATTCTAAAAATTTGAATTTACGATATATATATATATATATATATATATATATATATTATATATATCATAATAATAAGTTACAATAATATAATTATTAATAATATATTTCAAAATGGATGCCATTTAACTTCGAAGGAAGAATTTTTTCTAAATATATATTTTGTAGGTATACCTAAAGAATTTTTAAAGAGTCAAGTTAAATTTTTTTATGTAACTACTTATTTAACGTAAACTTTTTTTTTTAGAAAAAACTTAGAAAAACCATTTCAAAATTAATAAAACTATTTTATTATTATTTAACGGAAATTGAATTTGCCTGAAAGAATATTCTTACACAATTCGTTTGTTAAACTTCTTCTATAAATCAAAATAATTTGTTAGGTATACAAGTTATGCATGCATAAAAATGTTTATAATAATATATGTATAATATATATTATGATAAACGATTATGTGTTGAATATCAGACGTGTACAATCCTCGTAAAGTTCAAACAATGTAGTCAGCGTTTGAGTATATGAGTTTACTTGATAGTTCGATGGGCACGTGAATGCCGGCGTGTTACTCCACTGTTGTCCAAGTTTATTGTTACAAGCCGAAAAGTTGACTATTTTCTTTACATTTGTGCTGTTATTTTCTTTGGTTACCAAGTATTGGACATTGCATCTTCCATAAACGCCGGTCTGTAAAATTAAATTTTAAAATACGTAGCGTGTAACTACATCGTAATGTCTAACGAATTAGTATTCAAATTGTTATAGACTTAAAAAGAAAGAAACAGCAACCGTTTTGTACATTTTTTTTTTTTTTTTTTTTTTTTTGGAAAAATTAAATCTACTTAAGATCGAACTTATTTTGAACAATGAAATGATAAGATGAGAACTTAATTTTAATTCATAAATGTGTAATATGTCTTTATACTGTATGAAAAGAATAGACAATGAAAATGTTTTTATAAAAAAATAGTTATATCAAAAACATAATCACAGAATATTAAAATTTTACCTTCTCTGGAATTCTATATTTACTATTACTGGTCATTGCCATTTGTGCATAAGCATCGAATTGATCTAAACATACGTATAAAAGTGTTGTTGTTTTCACGATTTTATAAGAATTGTACTATATCGGTAATTACGGATTCAGGCGACGGGATGGGATTTTGTCATTTTGTCAGTATTTTTAAAAAATAAAAACATGTTTTTTCCCCTTTATTATTTCGTTTAAGAAAACTGATGAACTTTCAAACATCTGAGTATCCGGAAGTGTGCGCAATACAAGCACAAGCACATAATTGATGAGCATATTACAATAGTATTTACCTCTTCTGTAACAAACGACGGCCGTAACGGGGAACCCAATTTCAGCTGGAGCATTCCGACGAGTGCGCGTTTTATGTTCAACGACCCCAGCACGTCGGCACTTTCTCTCTCGAACGTTTGCACTTCGCCGTCTTTGTACGAGCAACGAAACGGCAATGTGATCCACGGGAATTCTTGTTGCGCCTCGCTTGTCTTGAACTCTTTGATCTAACATTTGCATAGGAATCAATTGCATTATGTACACAACAGCGATGCGAGTGCTGTGCTAAAAAATGACGAGTTCGTTTCGGCCGCGAGTTACATCCGTAGGCGAACAGTGAATGTGAACGTTTTTTGTGTTATTTTCTTATTTTTATTTTTCGTGGGGAGAAGTACCCTCTGGTAATATATTTCACGTTTTCACCGGTGTTTTTTGTCACGACCAATCGTGTTTGAGGTTTTTTTGGGGTTACCCGTGCACAGATGGTTTCAAGAACTTCTCGGTGCATCCCGTTTACCAAGTACCCAGTCCACCTACGGGGGGTCACGCAGAGCCGTCCCGAAGATGAAAATCAAAGGAGGGGGGATGAATAATATGAAAAATGCCTACTACAATTTTTTTACTTAATGTATGTAGTATAATTAACTATATGTAGTCGTATTTTTACTTTTTAACATGTATACATGTGTCAGTGTCGCACGTTCTTAAAATTGACAATTTAATTATATATATATAATATTAATATATATATATATAAAAAATTAATATTTTATATATATAAAATATTAATATTTTATATTGTATAATAAGTAGTTATATAAATATTATTAGTGTATACACTGTATTACGAAATATGTAATATTTGTTTTCCGTAAGTAAAATTAGGTCCTTCTAGGCCATAATGAAATAAGTCCGACTGCCGACTGGTATTTTCGTTAGGGAGGTGACCTTCCCCCCCAAAGACTCCCCTTTGGGACGGCTCTGAGGTCAAGGCCTTCGCGACTACAATAACACGTACTTGAAACGTAGTAACATTCTGATAGGTTTGAACGGAAAAGTATGCGTCCAATGAGTATTTGGTCAGGTGCTCTGAAGGGAACACGGTTCCCACATGCGTTATGGCTCTCCATCTGTAACCGAGTTGAAAGCCTTCAGGAAATAGGTCACGATCGCAAAAGCTACTTTGAACCAGATAACCTGTTAAATGCAAAAACGTAGAATGTAATAATTTAATAATGTAATAATCGCAGAAACGGCGATTTGTGCTCGTAGAATATTATACACGTTGACGTAATATTATACATATAAAATTTCATATTAAATTTATGTGATCTAATACGTCATTTAATTTAATCATTTATGATGTGAAGAAAATATCAATTAAAACCGTAAAACGAGCTAATTACTAATTATAATTTATAGGCATAATATACAGTGTCCATGAGGTATGCTTCGCGAGAGATAAAATTGCGTGTGCCATTGTATTAATGCATGCTGTATTGATGTGTAATGAAATTAGCATGATGGTCAATATAACTCTAAACACAATTGTGCGTCGATACACTATAAATTACATTAAGATATTTCTGGTTTACCAGTTGCTTATTGGGTTATATATATATAAATGTATATTATAAGAATAACGTAAGTCACGCAGTATAAACTTGATGAAATGTACAAATATGTATTTTTAGAGTAATTGTATAACACAGGTATTAAATTAATTATTCAAAATTATAATAAATCATTATTTAGATATATGGTTACTTAATTTTCATATACAAATTATACAAATGTATTCACTAAATTTTTTTGTTGCTTAACTGTCATTTTGTTTTAGAAAGTTTTGCCAAATTTTAATACTTTTGAAAATTTACATGTAAATTAAATATGTTAGCTTTTCTCGGTTAACATATTCATCACACTTTTCATGGAAAAATGAAAAATGAAATTTATTTTAATCATAGATATGTTCGTGAATTTTTCTAATACCAACAATTTATTAGTGCTATGTGAAATCCAAAATGTATTAAATAATATTTAAATCTAAAATTAATCTAAAAAAAGTTAAATAGTTTTTGTAGACAATTTTTCTAGTCAATAAAAAAAAAAAACTATGAACCTTGAAAATTATATGGTTAATATTAAATAAAACGATATCAACTCTCTGAACATCTATGTTATGGAAGGTCAAGTATTTATTTGATAAACGAACAATCAGTTTTATACAATCAAGAGAAGGGTTTTTTTATTAGCCACAAAAAAAATAATTCATTATAATAAAAAAATATATTGATGATGACATTTGATGAAATATTACTAACAATTGACTTTTTTTAGTACCTAGCTGAAAATTAACATTAATAGTTAAAAAAAAACAACAATACTGTAATTCGATTATCATATTTCTTTTAAATTCTATTGATTCTCAATATGGTTGTACAATGAAAAAACGACTGGAAAGGGTAATATTGATATTGTACGTGTGATCTATGGGTATAAGTATTATATTTACGTAATCTTTTTAGATTAAAAAAAAAAAAAAATCGAATAAAACCAATCTTTAATTACTACTCAAATTCTTATATATACAGATTATGTTTGGAACATTATATTTTGTTACGACGTACAAATTGTAATACAGATACGAAGAAAAACAATTCACATAACGAATATTAATATTTATACATTAATGGGTTAGACTAATTAATTTATCAGCTAACAAGTATAATACGTTCACGTGAATGTATACCGTGGCCCGTTTACCTAGATGATTTGTTATCAGATTTTAGCAAAACTACTTACTTAAACGTCATTGTTTTGTAGTTATAATTTTGATTTAATTTGAATACACACAATGATTCGATAATTTGCCCAAGGAAAAAATGTTTTCAATGTAATTTAGTTTTTTACAATACATTCTGTGACTTGAAGTCATTTTGGTTTATTTATATTTTTCGTTGTTCAGTGAATTTATTATCAGTTATACTAGTGAATACTAGGAATACTAGTGTCTCGTAATTTATAAGAGAACGTTATTCTACGTGATACTTCATAATTTATTGTTTTGATGATTATCAATATACTATACATTTTGCAATATGCAATATAAATATACAATCGATTAGAAATACATTTCTTAAAATATTCTATTGCATATATGAATATAATCTATATGGACTTCTGTTGAAAACATGTGTTCATATTTAATTTACATCATTAATTATTATATTCGGTGCAAGCTTCGTTGATTTAATAATCGATTAAAATGCAATCATATCATAAGATCTTTTTGGATATATTCTATAGTTATACATTGTAATTTTTTATAAAAGCTAGATATTTAGGATATTTATTATTCGATTTGAAATGACAGAAAAAAAAGTAATAATGAAATTAAAATATCCGTAGTCTTTCTACTGGGAATCTCTATATCCTTTTTGTTTCATTCAATATTTCTATATTGATATTTTCAATCGTTCTTATTTTATCACAATGTGTAAAACAGATTATGTCAATTAAAATTAAAAAAAATTTAAAAAGTCACTGATTAATGTAAATATATTTTTTAATGTATACCGATGTACACATTAATGTTTTATTGGATGAGATATTTTTATTCCAATGCGGTTTAAACCCGTCGTTGGCAGAGAACCATTAAACAAATTACATTAAATTTTCGTTTTCGATGAAACTTTTTACCCATGCAAATGCTATTAAAAACATCGCTGTACGCATAATAACATTAAAGTAATTTCAACGAATTTCATTTCGCACAAAAAATAACAAGATATCCGATGTACAAATGATAATATTTGTCGTTAGCATCTTCAGTCAAGATATTCAAAATGTTTTAGATCGAATTGAAACGTTTGAATTAGATTTTTTTTTGTAATATAGAAAACTCGATTCTGGGACGTTATAGTAAAATAATTGTTCTGCGATGTCGGTTGAATTTAAAAATGAGTTGACTTAACTTTTAATGTGAATGGGAAAATATGTAAAATATGTGTATGTAAATATATAAATGGGGAAAGAAAGAAAATATAGCATAAGACATTTATTGCATTTACATTTTATAATACTACGCTGCAAATGGACGTAAAAATATAGATTTAATTTACAAGATGCTAACGTACGCTCGTAGACTTAAATATCAGTCGGAAAATGTTTTTTTTTTTTTTTGGTGAATATTTTTTGGAAACAGACCACTGTCCTTTGATAAAGTGATAAGTAATATGTGTAACAGTGTTAGTAAGGGTATTTAGGTGTATTTATAACGGAATATTTTATAAGGTGAAAATGTTTTTTTTGTTCAGATTCTGAATATGATGTATGTTTTTATTTTTGTGTCTGTCTATACATAACAGCGACCAGGACGATTGCAACAATCATCAATAGGAAAGATGATTCCTGATATAATGTTATTCTATGGGTGAATTCGGGAGATTATTTTCTATAGTTTTTCAAATAGCTGAAAAAAAGTAGATTAAAAATTACGAAAAATTACAAAACAGATCTGACAATTTTACTGAATAATAATGCTGGTTATGCAAATTTTTTTTAGTTAACGAATACAATTTTCAATATTTATAATTAAAGCTTAAGAATTCAAATTGAATATACTTTAAACAGTTTTTACAATAAAAAATTACTATTCTTAACGATTATTCTTGGAAGAATTAGAACTGAATGAAATATATTGCTACCAATTTTTGAAATCTAAAATAGTTGTTTTTAGTTTTAATATAATCAAATTAGCTGTAACTTTTATTTTGAAAATTTAAAAGTTTTTATGTTTAGTTTAAACGCTATTTTTGTTATTATTTTATTATATATAATCAGAAAACCGTCGTTTCGTGTAATTGGTTTTTGTAATCCTACTTATACCTTTTAAATAGCAATGAAACGTGTTCAATTCAAAATAAAAGTATCATTATTTTGAATTTTTTTTTTATTTTATTTATTTTATTTTTAATTTTTTTTTCAAAGTTTTGCTTGAGTATTATATAGATTTATATCAGCTTGAATTTGTAGCTTTGAGTGTGTTAGCACAATAGCATTTCATTAAATTTTATTACAATAGGTATTTACATAATTTTTAACTAAGTATATTTGTTTCTCAAGTATTTATATGACAAACGTCCGACGAACAACATTATGGTAAATTGCCAATTAGGTTCAAATATACCGAGTTTTATAATTCCAATAAAATTTTTATTAAAATCTTAATTTGTGGATAATAGTGCAGTAATTACTTTATTTATTTATGTTAGATTATTTTTTTAAGTGACAAAAGTTAATTTACAATTTATTAAACAAAATTATCGTTACCAGAGTTGATTAATTTTAGCCATTGAGTTATAAAATCTACTATGGTGAGTTTTAACATAGGGTTCATATTCGTCTTATTTTAAAGTATTTTAACTTAAAAAATAAGAAAGCCCAACTATACAAAAATGAGTCACCATCTAACATAAAGAAAATTTGACTTTTAGTAATATACTATCATAAATTCCAAGCTTTTAAAATGTTTAAATTCAAATTATATTAAACGAGAATACTGCAATATTTCACTATTTCAGTCTTTAGATAAAATAATATTTAATGTTGAGTATCTTATGAGGTAATAGTTATAATTTTATGGTGGACGTAAGATCTAAGAGTGATAGTTGGTTATAAATTATTTTTTCGAGTGACATTGAGTTATTCCCTCCCAGTGAAAATTCGACTGTATAATATCCTCAAAGAATATCTATAAGAACATTTAATAATTAAAAATATTGTCTAAAAACTATATTTTTAATTAATAAATAAATTACATATATTACGGTAGATTACGGTAATGTTTCGGCGCAGTTTCAACGACGGAGGGATAAGCATTGGAATATAAATTTTTCTGAATTTTGAAGAAATATATCGTCGGATTTTTTCACTTAATATTTGGAACTATTATACTAATACATACTTTTTTGTATTATTCAAGTATTTCCTCTAAAAAATCCATATATACATTGCAAAAATTACCATAGTAATGTATATAGTGTATAGTAGCATCGTACAAGCTATATGTATATGCTATATGTATATGTGATATATAATTTTTATTAAAAAATTGAATGATAAATAATTGTTTTATTTATTATGTTTTTATAAAATTGTTTGAAACTTGCCTAAGAGAAATTTCCTCAAAAAAA